ATTTTATTCTTAAGAAGGTCTCACATGGTTACTATCTCCACATTAAAACCCTAGCTTGGTGCGTCGCCAGTGCCTGCGCTTAGCATCGTACCTGATGCTGTTATCGGTCCTCATGCGAATCCAGTAAGGAATAGGCCTGTTCTGTCTTTGCTTCTTCGCCAGCTTCTTCTTGATCATGAAGGTCTTGTTCGACGGTATTTTCAAAGAAGCCGGAGCTTGGCGAGGCAGAGTTCTGAGGGAGATAACGACTTCTGGATACATAAACTCACAAGGAAGAAGAAAGTAATAAAGGAAATGATGCGTAAGTTTTCTGCCATTCATGTACTTGTATAAATACATTTGAGTTCATATCAAACACAACAACTGAAATGTAAAACTATTATTAAAAACATCAATACAAATATCATGGCTCCAATGTATATTATTGCCCGTGATATCTCGCCGTTGAAAACTACCAGTGTCGTGCTTGGTGCCTACGTATGAAATTCCAGAAAGGGGCAGTGAATCCATCAAAGTAAAGAGTGTTTGTTTCACAATGAAGATATATTCATTTTTTTCCTTTTTCATTTTATTAAACAACTTCTTTTTTCTTTTGGTTTTTTTCTCATCCATTCAATAGTTTTTTTTTTTTTTTTTTTTTTGGAATAAGGGTCAAATAGGCCATCGAACTGCACATGATAATGAAATTAGGCCACTGTACCTAAAAAAATTACAATTGAATCCCTAAACTAACACATTTCATGCAATTAGTCTAATTTACAGGGTTTTCAGGTTTCTAACACGTCACCTCAAATTTAAAATATTTTTAAAAAATAATTTTTTAAAAGTAATTATTTAAAATTAAAAAAAAAATCTTCGTCTCGTCTTCATCTCTGCCAGAGAAGAGGATACCTTCTTCATCTCAGACCCTTCCACACCCCCACAATCGGGTCTGCCAGCCCTTCCACACCCACACTTTTTTTTCCTTTCTTTTGGTTTTGATGGAGGGTGGGGGTGGGGGGTGGAGGAAGGAGAAGGGGTAGTTCTGTTATTCGGTATGACTGAGAAAACCAAACCCAATTCTATTTAAGTTGTGATGATGGTGGCTGTGAGCGTTGACTTTGAAACTGGTTGGTTTATATGTGTATTTGGTGTTGGAGCCATTTGATTCTTCCATGGGTGTGTTAGAGACAGAAATCAAGAATGAGCTGAAAGAAAATACTATATGTATGCAAGATCTTTAGAACACGTGATTTTCACATACAGTACTTAATCGGCGTTCAGTGAACATACCTGGTTCCATGGTTCTCTTGTGGCAGCCAGAACTAGAAACTTGGTTTCTCCCTCCAGGCCGTTAGCATTCTCTTAATCTAATTCTCTGATGGAGAGAGAGCTTTAGTTTTCAGAAGGTCAGGGAGAGGACCATAGTCTCATAAATGATTAAAGAAACAAACTCACGTGAGAAGTTACATGAGCAGTTGAAACTGCTATCTTATCTTTAACTGACCAATAAAGAAATTAGATCATTATTAAATTTAAATGGATATTTATCATAATTAGGGAACTTAAAATTATTAAATAATAGCCATAAAAAAATAATAATAATTATTCTAACATTCTCCCACTTGGATTATGAGCCATAAATTTAATAATGAACGTGAAACATAATATGCATAGTATAAGCTAATTCCTTCGTTATATTGGTTAGAACGTAAATCATCATCAAGTAATAAACTAATAAGAATCATGGCGGTAATACATCACTAATTTAACACAGTCCCTTCCATGTATCACAATATTAATTTCAAACTCAATATGATTCATAACGATATTTTCCATGACGGTCCATGATAATGTCTTTGTCAAAGACAGATCCTATTTACATTAACATAAAGCATTCATGTATATATACTTCAAAACTAAACAGGATACTAAATACAGAAACGAAACTATATTGAGCTCTAAGTATCAAATATATCAAAACACAAACCTTAATATAATGTTAATAGTCTCCAATAAAGCCCATTCTTTCAACATGCTCAAGAAAGGCCTTTGGTGGCAAGGCTTTAGTTAATGGGTCTGCAATCATTAATCTAGTGCTAATGTGTTCAATTGATACTCTTCGTTCCCAAACATCTTCTTTAACGGCAAGATACTTCAAATCAATATGTTTAGCACCACGTGTATACTTGTCGTTTTTAGAAAAGAACACTGTTGCGGCATTATCACAATAAATTTTCAGCGGCTTGGTAATACTATCTGCAATTTCAAGTCTCGAAATAAAATTCCGCTGCCACAATCCATGACTTGTTGCTATAAAACATGCCACAAACTCAGCTTCCATAGTGGACGCAGCAACGACAATCTACTTCGCACTTTTCCAAGAGATAGCCCATTGGCTAAAAGGAATAGATATCCAAATGTGGACTCCTTGTGTCCAAACACCCGGCAAAATCTGAATTTGTGTATCCTATCACCTCAAGGTGATCGGACCGCTTATAAGTAAGCATGTGCTCCTTTGTGCCTTGTAAGTATCTTAACACCTTCTTTGCAGCCTTCTAGTGATCCATACCAGGATTACTTTGATATCGACCAAGCATCCCAATAGCAAAGCTAATGTCTGGTCGGGTACACGTTTGGGCATACATCAAACTCCCAACAACAGATGCATAAGGAATATTTTCCATTTCCTTTCACTCCAATTCATTCTTAAGGCATTGCATAAGGCTGAACTTATCTCCCTTCTGAATTGGAGCAACTGATGCAGAGCACTTTTCCATTCCAAATCTTTCTAAGACTTATATATGCTTTCTTAGACAACCCTAATACTCCTTGTGATCTATTACGAAATATTTCAATTCCAATTACAAAGGATGCATCACCCATATATTTCATTTCAAAGTTCTTAGAAAGAAACTGCTTGGTCTCGCGCATTAAACCAAGATCATTAGTAGCAAGCAAAATGTCAACAACATACAGAATCAAAAATATAAACTTCTCTCATTGACCTTCAGATATATACATTGATCAACAGTGTTTTCCTTAAATCTAAAGGTCATTACAGTATCATTAAACTTAAGATACCATTGTTGGGAAGCTTGTCTAAGTTCGTATATCGATCTGTTAAGTTGTTACACCCTGTGTTCCTTTCCTTCAACTGAAAAACCCTCAGGCTGGTTCATGTAAATTTCTTCCTATAAGTTTTCATTCAGAAAGGCAGTTTACACATCCATCTGATATAGCTCCAAGTCATAATGAGCTACTAATGTCATAATTATTTTAAATTAATCTTTCTTTGAAACAGGTGAAAATGTTTCGTTGAAACCAATACCATGTTTTTTAGTGAAATCTTTGGCAACAAGTCTGATCTTGTATCGTTCGATATTGCCATTTGACTCGTGTTTGGTCTTAACACTAGTACAAAATTGAACATAGAAGATTGACCATAGACTACCATTGTTGAAAGAATGGTTGTCTATTCTTAGTCCAAAAATTTGCAGTGGCAATTTTGTAAATAAATGATAAATAATCCGCCTCCATTGTAGCTGTAATGGTTGCTTATTGTATTTTTTTTTATATTTAAAAAAAAATTAATTTTTAATAGGCAACCATTTTTAATAGAAATGGTTGCCTTAAAATAGAAATTGTTTTATAATAAGCAACCATTTCCAATAGAAATGGTTGCCTAATATTAGCCCTAGATCTAATAGATAGAAATCGTCTACCTTATTCCACGCACAGATCTAAAAGCTTCGTTCTCGCGTCTCATCGCCAGATCTTCGTCTACCCTAGATCTTCCTTCTTAAAAGCTTCGTTCAACACTCCCACCCATCGCACAGCTACTACTGGCTACCTCCGGCTTCACGTCGCACCCCGGCCACCACCGTTCACAGCTACCGCGACAAAGCACGCCACCACCGTCGCACACCACCAACTGTCGTCGCACACCCACCACCGCGACGCCGACGCCACAGCCGCCACCACGCCGTCGATCTGCACCCCTCCCTTGCCCTGCGACGATGGCGGCCTCCCTGTGACGACTCCACTGCCGCCGACTCCGATCAGGTAGGTTTTTTTAAAAAAAAAAAAAATTATATATTAATGTTTTATTATTATTTGAGATAAAATGTGATATTTTATGATTTTTAAAAATTTTATTATTAGGAAAATTTTATTAATGTTGACTGAGTGGGTAGCGGTGACATCATAGAGAAGCCCAGTAGGAAAGGGAAGAGGGAAGGTTTGCTATAGTGTGACTAGTGGGATGTGGTAGTTTGGGATGTTGGTTGATTAAGCTATAGAGTCATAGGGGTAAAGTGTTAAGGAAATATCCTTTGGCTCTTAATTCCTGCCAGATTCATATTTTTGCATTTATGGAAATTTGTTGGTAGCATCTCTGATCTGTTGATGTGGCTGGATTAGTTGTTGATATGGAATGGACTGTAAAATTTGTAAATATTTGGCTCTTGGCTAGCTGCACTCCTATGTATTACATTACCACTCTTATAATAATCTAAATAATATCATCTGCAATTCATTTCTTTCTTTTTTTATTTCTTAGAACTCAACTATGTCAATCACTATGTATGTCAAATTTCTCAATTTGCTCCAACAAGTCTGCAAATCTTTTAATAAAGGACCAAACAGTTAGTGGCATCTTGTGTACAATAAGACTTACACAGGTATGGCTTTTAAAGTTTTGATTCTTTAGTTCTCTCCTTATGTACCCTTGATGCTTGGCAATCGTGCATTTTAACATTTGTGTTGTTTCATGGACTTGACTAATGCCTGAAGGCGCTTCTCTTGTATTCTCAATATTAAAGAATTGTTGGTTTAGGGATTATGAGGGTAGTGTGCTTTTTTGGCAAATCAACTACTATTCTGTATAAAAACCACTTTCAAACAGTTTCTAGGCTGGCATTTAGCCTTAGTCTCCTATCTCATGTTGATACCACTGTTTCACATTCTTGTAAGTAAAATGTACAAGGACACAATGAGATTATCTTTGGTTTGCTGGGATCAAGCCATATGCAGCAAGTAGGTCGAACGTGTTGTGGAACAACAGCAGCTGCCCAAGGGGAACACAGGCCAATTCGCTATTGTCCCTGGTAATTTTCTATCTTTAATTTGCTTTTCGAGTTTTAGTTGTGATTCCATTGTTGTGAGCTCGATGTGAGGCGAGAATCCTTTAGAAGAATTGCGTTTAAATAAAGATCGAGCCTTTAGGAGTTTAGGACATGAACTCTTTTTGCCTATGTTTCCATCTTTTTTCTTTCATTGCAGCTATGTCTGTCTTTGTGGAAACTACAAAAACACAAATATGACTGTTGGTTATATACAATCATTTGAGGAACTCATCGACTTCATAAGCTCGTTCTGAACTGGCCTTCTGCATAGTTTTTTTGTAAAGCGTTTTCAGCACCTCCCGGGGGCTTCTAGGAATGCTAAGAACCACTAGTTATCAAAAAGAAAGAAAGAAAAACAGCTCCCTCCAAACATTTCTTCAGAAAAAGTTTGCAAAACTGCATTGTGATATGTTGAAAGCTCCAAATATTGTCATCTTGTGCTAGACCGTTTAGTAAAGAAAATTTATAATTTAAAGTATTAATTACACAGGTGATTGCAAATCATTAGCAAATGTGCAGAAGTTTTCGCAAGTGCAAGGTGCAACCTCTGCACAGCTAGATAGTGTGGAATACCGAGGTCCCTTTGAGTTTGGATTTGGCCAACCTCTGGTAAGTTTATTCGTAATATTAAAAAAAAAAAACGTATTATAGCCAGCAAGTGTATTTTCTCGTCTTACCAATGTTATTTTCCCTGGTTTTGGTTTAAACGACATAGATATGTGCCAAGTATCCTTATGGAGAGCAGTGCTATAGGTTATATATACAGCTTATGGACCTCAGGTTGTGGTATGTAGTCTTCATTATCTTATACTTTATGCCTATTTAGTTATGTTTTTGTTTTAGATACAAAGGGAATTGATCTCGAGGCCTTTTATATAGAGTTTTGCTAGTTTCTTGCAAAAATAGAGCAGCAACTATTACTGAGAATCTGAAATAGGCCATACTGATATCATATACTTGGACTGTTAAATGATGTATAGGGGCGAATCATGCTGCCACTGAATTTGGCGTCGAATGAAGGCCTGATATCGTGAATCCTAAGCAGTACCATGGGATAATTAGGCGCAGGAAGTCCCGTGCAAAGGCTGAAATGGCGAACGTAGTGCCTAAATCCTGCAAGGTAAGACACTTGCCTTTATAAGGTTCTGCAGATGAGACAATTGTATGTGTTCACTTATTTCCTTGTTGCCATGTTTGACAGCCATACTTGCACATGTCCCGGCACCTCCACGCAATGCGTCGCCCTCGGGGTTGCGGTGGGTGCTTCCTGAACACGGGGAACAATCATCAAATGGCTATTTACTTACATGTTTACCTTTTGGCCAGAAAAACGAAAGAAAGAAAAAATTGTTTCTAACATTGTTTATTATAGCTGCTGTTAGTGAGCAATCATCAAATGGCTATTTACTTATTGCAACTAGTGGAGGTCTCAACCAACAAAGAACTGGAGTAAGTATAGTTCTTTTTTTTTTCCAGTTAATAGAACAATTGTGTACTATTACACTTGAAATACTTTGATCGTTTCTGTTTTGGCTGTCTCGCTTGGTAACTTGTAGTTTGTATGCATTTGTTACCTTTCAGATAACTGATGCAGTTATGGTTTCACGGATTCTGAATGGCACATTAGTTGTGCCCGAGTTGGATCAACATTCATTCTGGAAGAACGATAGGTTTGGTCCGGATTTTGGTGTTTACTTAGCAACCCGTAAAGCAAGTTTCAACCATTTCCTCATTTCGTCTTTCTGAAATGCAGTGATTTTCTCGACATATTTGATGTGAACTTGTTTATCCAGTACCTGGCGAAGGATGTCATGCTTGTCAAAAGAGTCCCGGAGAAGGTCATGACATCAATGGAGAAACCCTCGTATACAATGCGTGTTCCAAGGAAGTCAGAACCGGATTACTATTTGGGCCAAATACTGCCAGTACTCCAGCGAAGACGTGTATGTAGGCGAGCTCGTTTCTGCTATTAGTTCTTTTCCAATGCCCAAGAAAATATTTTTTTTGGCAGGTTTACCTCTTGTAGACAAAATTCATATGTTTTGATGATATTATTGTATTAAAGTATGAGGATTTTAAGTATTATTGTGTTTTGATGATATATTTGCATTGTGTTAAAAGTATTATTCTGTTTAATTTGATGATAGATAAATTGTATTGTGGAGTACTGTTGATATGGATTTTAAGTTGTAACAGGTACATGAATTATAAAAAAAAAAATTAGAGTTTTTAATTAAAATAAATTAAATATTAAACCTTTCAAAAAAATTAAATATTAAAAAAAAAAGTCATCCGCGACCATTCCTAGCCAAAAATGGTCGCGGATGACTAATTATTAAAATAATAAAAAAGGAAAACGCGACCATTTCTAGCTTCAAAATGGTCGCGTTTTACCTTTGAATTAAAAAAAAATACAATATGCGACCGTTCTTTGTCAAGAATGGTCGTGTATTACTAACAATGCGCGACCATTTCAAAATGGTCATAAAGTCCATGACTTTCCGCGAGCCTCTCATAGGCAACCATTGTACAATGGTAGCTTATTGTCTTTTACAATGGTAGCCTATCTGCAATTCTGTACTAGTGTAAAAACCCATTTATAGCCAACTGGCTTACAACCTTCAGGCAATTCAACAAGATCCCATACTTCATTATGTTCCATTGATTTTAACTCATCTTTCATGGCTTCGACCCATTTAGAAGAATTAGGACTACTTCATCAATTCCAATATCAAAATTTGATTCTTGAAGATAAACCATATAATCATCAGATATAGCTGATCTCCTTTGTCTTTGAGATCTTCTTAATGCTACTTCTATAGGAATATCATATGTGGATTCATTGTCAACTTCTTCATGGAGTGGTTAATCATTAATCTCTTGATCATTAATTTGTTGTTCATGTAGGTGATTAAATTGTTCAACCGTTGCAGGATGAGCAATTTGAGTAACTCTAGGCAGAGCGCACAGGAACAATAAATTGAGAAGAAGATATCGGAGAATCTTGCATTGTAACTTCTTTAAGTTCCACCTTTCGTGGTTCAACGCTCCCACTTATGTTATCATTCTCAATGAACTTGGCAGTTGGCACTTACAGTTTCAACAATTCTAGTAGTATGGCTAGGACAATAGCATCTATACCCTTTACATTTATCTGGATAACCAATGAAAAATCCACTAGTTGTTCTTGAGTCCAGTTTATTTTTATGTGGATTATAAATGCGTATCTCCGCCGGGCATCCCCAAACATGAAGGTGTCTTAAATTAAGTTTCTTTCCTGTCCACAGTTCAAAAGGTGTTTTTGAAACTGCCTTACTAGGAACCCTGTTTAATAAATAAACGATGGTTTTTAAAGCATATGTCCACAATGATAAGGATAAAGAAGAATAACTCATCATACTCCTAACCATTTCCATTAGGGTACGATTACGCCTTTCTGCAACACCATTTTGTTGTGGTGTACCAGGCATTGTGTATTGAGCACATATACCACGTTTTTAAAGAAATTTAGCAAATGGACCAGGACATTGTCCACTCTCAGTATATCTTCCATAATATTCACCATCCCTATCCGATATTATAATTTTCACGCTTTTGTCTAATTGTCTTTCAACCTCATCCACAAATACCTTTAAGGCATTTATTGATTGAGATTTTTCATGCAACAAATAGACATAACCATAATGTGAAAAATCCTCAATAAATGTGATGAAATATTTTTCTTTTCCAAAAGTTGGGATATCAAAAGGTCCACATATATCAGTGTGTATAATTTCAAGGAGTTGTGTGCTTCTTGTGGCTGCATTCTTATTTGCGTTATTTGAATGTTTTCCTTTAATACAATCTGCACAAATACTGAGATCTGTAAAATTCAATTCAAGAATGACTTCATTCTTTACAATACTACTTTTGGTTTGAATTTTTCTAAGTATTCTTAATTTTCTTTTGAGTAAAAGACATTTTTTGTCCTGGATTTATAGTGGCACGGATAATTTTGATCCTTCATAATAAAATTTACCATTTTATGGACAGACTTATTGTGACGCGGACATTTTTGGTCCTCCGTCCGTAATTCTGTTAAATGACCGTGTAAGTGAGGGATAATTGTGTCATTTCAGCCTATCTTCCTTACCACTTTCCCCCATTGAAGGTCTCTCTGCTGTAGATTCTCGTACACAACTCATAGCCAAGTTGATAAACTTTTGCAGGCCATCAGGAACAACCCACACCCTCCGGCGTGCCATCAAAAGCCCCTGCACCAACAATATCAGTAATTAACGATGGTACCTGGACAAAAACCTAGGCATTGACGTTCTCCTCCGGGCAAGCAGTCTGAAGAACACCATCGGTGCAAGCCTCCGTCCCAACCTTCAGTTTCTTCGAGCTCAAGGAGCAATCAACAGTTACGTGTCTTACGAATTCTGGACGGAGGAGAACGTCTAAACAGAATTCATGACACACCTCATAGGAACGCAATTACCCACACACACATAAATACAGGGAGAGGGGGAGTCGAAGAGAGAATTGAAAACTGCAGAAGAAGAAGAGGAGCAAAGAAGAATGGGGGCTTACAGAGCGGAAGGCGATTACGACTACTTGTTCAAGGTGGTGCTGATCGGCGACTCCGGCGTCGAAAAATCCAACCTTCTATCCAGGTTCACCCGCGACGAATTCAGCCGGAATCCAAGTCCACCATCGGCGTCGAGTTCGCCACTCGAACCATCCACGTAGCAGACAAGGTCGTCAAGGCCCAGATTTGGGACACCGCCGGACAAGAACGGTGCGTTCTTCATTTTCCGGCCAGATCAATCTTCTCCATCTTTTAACTCATCTGGTCGGATATTTTTAATTCGGTTGAGATGAGAGATCTATTGGTGATTTTGCTTATATGTGCTGCAGATACCGCGCACCAGTGCGTATTACCGGGGAGCTGTCGATGCATTGCTCGTGTACGATGTGACGCGACAAACAACCTTGGAAAACGCAGCGAGATGGTTAAAGGAACCCGATGACGCATAGCTGAAATGACACAATTACCCCTCACTTACATAGTCATTTAACAAAATTTTGGATGGAGGACCAAAAATGTCTTCGTCACAATAAGTCTGTCCATCAAATGGCAAATTTTTTTATGGAGGATCAAAATTGTCTGTGCCACTATAAGTATAGGACCAAAAATGTCTTTTACTCTTTTCTTTTGAATAACATTGTCATTGTCTTCATCATCACTATTTGTCAGCTTCCTTTTTGTTAGTAGTGTGTTATTTGCAATTGAGTTACTGTTGGTAGCATAGATGACAACATCATGCAATGAGATTATGGTATAGGAAGTTGTGGATTTTCCATCTTGTGTATATGAGTGAGATCTTAGTTGTACTATGAACCATTGCTCTTGCAAGCGTCCGTTGATATTTCGCAGTGGTAGTGTGTTCCCCTATATGTTTTTAATGTGGAAGTATTGAATAAAATATTAATATTTATTATATTTGTAAAGGTTCTTGAGTAGTACCTCTTGTTCTATTTTCATAATTTGTTTGCTTGATAGTAACAACAATAATAACTCTGCTGGTAGGTCGAATATTGATACTGCAACGTGTCCAATTTCATCAAATAATTTTCACATCCATTTTGCACATGTTCATTTCGAGTTCATATTTTTAGAATTAGTATTAATGAGTGTAGTACTTGATTTTGTGTGCATGTGTGTGTTTTTTATTTTTATTTTTTATTGAATTTATATTAACCTTCGAGTTAAATTATTTTCCACTTTGTGCATAAATTTTTTTTAAATAGTGACTACATCCTATATACCAATTATTTTTGTTGTGAAGGTTGATGTTGATTTTTCCTGTAATCTAAGTAGGTTGAGTTTAGAAGATGAAATCAATTGTAAATTTATATTAGTTTTAATATATTTAATGAATGCACAATAAGTATTTTACATATAGGATAAATGAATGAATCAACGGTGGCTATTTTGAAATTTCTTCATTTTCTAGGTTTGCCAAATTGATTGTAGCATTGTTGTAGTCTCGACATCTTTTCAGTGCATCAAGTGTGTTATGATGTTCTATTGCCCTAGATTGACAATTTTAATAATGAGATTTAAATGTAGCTACACAAGATAATGATATAATTAACATTTATATATTATTATCAACATAAAAGCATATCAGTCCTTTATGTGTTCTGCTCGGAGTTCATTTGGTTCAACCATTATTGTGTGAATGAGTTATTGTGGATAAAAAAAATTCATAGTTTAAGGAATAAGATTAGATAAAGTAGTAAAAATTTGAACATTTTAAATATGATGTAGTTCAAAGATATTACAATGTATTTTCCTGCTTCAATTTGTTGGATTATTCGAATATTCTATTTGTCAACACATCCCCACGTAATTAATATGATTGGCTTCAAACTATTATATATATATATATATATATATATATATATATATATATATATATATATATATATTTTCATGGTATTAATAAAATACTTGTTAAATAAATATATAACATTATTTTGTATTATAACTTTGATATTTTTTTTTTGAATGCTACTGGCTCTATTACAATGTAGTATCTGTTCATATAACTTTGATATTTAATTACAAGATAGTTTAAAAAGAATATAATGGACAAGGTAATGAATATCAATTGATGAATTTGAATATATGTAAAGAATCTTTGCATTGGAGAAAATAAAGACAATATAAGTAATACAATTATTTCTCCACATGACGTGAAATGCTCTCTCCCGAAAAATGTCCGGTCGCCGGCTTTCAACCACCGGCGGTTCAAGAAGTCCTTGAACGCAATCCGAAAAAGACCAAACGTGATGATCGACTACTAGACCTTATTGTCGCTGACACCTTGCCGGACTTCGTTCTGGAAACACCACTGGACGCGCCAATGGAACATCCCAATGATAATATCACTATGCCACCGCCGGGTAGCTATAGGCAGAGTCTGACGGGTTTCTTGAGCCGCAAGATTACAGAACCTTCTCCCCTGGACGAGGACGCCTCAGATGATGATGAACCAGTCGAAAACGATGACCCTGACTGTCCAAGAATCTTGGTGACTAAAGAGGAAAAGAAGAGGCTAAGACGCCTATGGCGCAAAACTCTTATCATTCATCTTCTTGGGAGACCGGTAGGCTATAACCTCCTTCTCCGGCGCCTGCAAACGCTCTGGAAACTTGAATCCTCCTTGGACCTGATTGACCTTGTTCATGGATACTACCTAGCAAAATTTGAGTCTCAAAACGACTACGATCACGTCAAGTTGGGAGGTCCTTGGATGTTGCTAGACCACTATTTGGTCGTCCAAGAATGGGAACCAAATTTCAATCCCACGTCTAACATAACAAGAAAGCTCTTAGCTTGGATCCGCCTACCAACTCTGCCAATAGAATACTTCGAGGACGAATTCCTCATGAAGATTGGTCGCCAACTGGGCAGACCAATCAAAGTGGATGTGACGACCTGCTTAGCGTCAAGAGGAAAGTTTGCTCGTGTCTGCGTTGAGATTGACATCTCGAAACCATTGCGATCTAAGTTCACTCTGGCGGATGAAGTATACCCGGTTGAATATGAAGGCATCCACATGATATGCTTCAAGTGTGGATTATATGGCCACAAGCAAGAACTCTGTGGCCTTGATGGGAAGACCCCTAATCCTCCAAACTTGCCTGAGGCAGCAGAGGTTGCGAAGATGGAAACAGAGAATGCTCAGCAGAAAACAAGAAACACGCCTAGTCCCTACACTGACAAATATGGCTCGGGGATGATTGTCAAATGCAAGGAACGAAGGAATCCAAAGAAACCTGAGAGGAGGCCTGTCCAAGATTTGAGGACGGCCCCAGATCAACCACGAGATCCCGACCCCAAACCCGTCTCCCACAAATCCCGCTCACTACCCGATTTGCACCACTAAACGACTTAGCCGATGATGTGGTCATGGATAATCAAGCTAGCCCGCCTAGACCCCAGAATCTTCAGACAATGGCCCCTGTGACAACCCGTCCCCGAGTTCGTATTAGCAACAAGGAACCTAAATCAAGCTTTCAACCAGACTTCTAACCAAAGGAAGTCAGATCTCCACAATACACCACCCCTAGAGGTCGAGGGAGCAGAACCAGTACACCAAGACGAGCTGCTGCAAAGGAAGAACATGTCGTCCGCGGTTCCTCTAGGTGGGGGGCATTATCAGATCCATTGTTCATCACAGTCCTAGACCCCCGGAGCTAGGATCCCCTCACCACACCACTGCTCCGATCTTGAACGTCCCTCCAGAAGAGGGGGGAGTTTTCTTTGATTGTGATACACCAAAGGACACGATGGAGAAAGATAACCAGGGCGTGGCCAACTTTGGCTCTCAGGGGGATCCTCGCATGCTCTTTTGAGCATGCTTCTTTTTCTCTACTTTGTTTTTATGATAGTACTCTCATGGAATTGCCAAGGTGCATCGTCACGAAAGTTTCACCGCACCCTTAAACAATTAATTCGAGATCACAAGCCCGACATCCTTTGTCTCTTTGAACCAAGGGTGTTAGGCGAACATGCTGATAAAATTTGCATTTCCATCGGTTTCGATGAATGGGCTAGGATTGAAGCTTTTGGCTTCTCCGGGGGCATTTGGGTGTTCTGGAAAGACACCACTATGGTAAACATCCACTTCACCCATCCCCAGTTCATGTTGCTCAGGGTCTCACATCTATCACTTGTCTATGGTAGTCCAGACTATTCACTCAGAAAGGAGCTCTTTGCCACTCTTTCCCTTATATATATGTATGTATATAAATATAATAACTATTTTATGGTGAATATATGAATTGAAAATTTTTATTTATAAAAGGGAAAATGACACCTTTTTCCCTCAAGTTATGTTAAATGTCGTGGATTTTCTCCCTTTTATGTTAGATAGATATTTTTAACCTTAAAAATAAGTATCTTATTTAATTTTATTCTCCAACATATTATTGCTTATATGTATGGATAACCACAGTTCATTTCGAACCTAATCGTACACTGTAGCAACTGAACTAAAACAATAGAGACAATTCTAATTATGATTCAGAATCAGAAAAAAATAAAAAATAAAATAATTATTGAATTTAGACTATTTTAAAAATAAGAAACATAATTTACAAAAATAAATAAATAAATAAATTTTGAACTGGAGGTTCAAACCGAAACTGAAACCTTACTAAAAGGTTCCCATTCTGATTTATCATTCTCAAGAACTGTGAACTGGAACCGAACTGACGGTTCAACCCAAAACTGGAACCTTTCTAAAAGGTTTTCGTTACAATTTATCATTTCCTAGAACTATGAACCGGAACCAAACTGCAGTCATATCTACTTATATGTGAAATTACAATAAATGTGAAAATGATTAAACACTATTGGTAAATGATAAATCAGTTTGATTTGGTTCCAGTTTCAATTTTGAACCCCCGATTCCAAATTTATTTATTTTAAATTCTATTTATTATTTGTAAAATAGTCTAAATTTAACAATTATTTATTTTATTTTATTTTAGTTCTAAATCGTAACCAAACCTGTCGTTACAATTTCGGTTCGATTGTTACAGTGTCCGGTTAGGTTCGAATCGAATCGTACTCATCTCTACATATAAGCAATAATTTGTTGGGAAAAAAAATGAAATACTTATTTTAAGGGTAAAAATGTCCATCTAATATAAAAGAGAAAAAATACGACATTTTAAGTTTTAACATAAATGGAGGAGCAAATGTGAATATATGAATAACTTAAAGAAAGGGTTGGGGTTCAGCCTTGGAAGAATGAATAACTTAGGGTGTGTTTGGAAACCCGGAAAATGATTTCCAAAAATCATTTTCCGGGTTTCCAATGTTGGGAAAGAAGGAAAATTTGAAGTCAACTGAAAATGAGGTATTGGTCAATGGAAAATGAGCATATTTTTAAGGAAAACAACTTCCCCTTTAAAAAAGAGGAAGTCATTTTTCGGATGTTGACTTCTTCATTTCTTCACTTCAAGAGGCAGTTGACTTTCTCCATCTTCATTGGCTTCTTCATCCTTTGGCTTTTGGGCTCACTGGTTTCCGGCAGGTTGCCGCCGGAAACTTGAGCACTGGTTTCGTAAGCTTTGGTTTCCGGCGAAAATCTGGTTTCCGCCGGAAACCAAAGGTTTTTTTTTTTTTTTTTTTTTTTTTTTTTTTTTTTTTTTTTTTTTTAAATAATAATAGTAAACAATCCATCTGGTTTCCTCGCAGAAACCAGATCTTGGTTTCCCGCGCGGAAACCAGATGGTTTCCGGCGGAAACCAGACATGGTTTCCTGCGCGGAAACCAATGAATATTATGTTTTTTTTAAAAAAAAATAATATTATTTGATTTTAAAAATAAATATTATTATTTATAATATATTGTAAATTTTATATATTTTAAACAAAATAATTAATTATATAAAATGTTTAATTATACAATTCTATATTATTTTCAGAAAATGAGCCAAACACCAAAAGACAATTTTCCATTTTGCAGTCAAACACAGGAAAGGAAAATGACTCATTTTCCAAAAGTCATTTTGCAGAAGTCATTTTCCTGTTTTCAAAACGGACCCTTTAAGAAAAAGAATGCAATAAAAATATAAACTGGTGGAAAAAGTGTTATCTTTTCTTTATAAAATTTAAAGATTTTAAATTATATATTAAAATACTTCGCTTAATCGGTATTCAACCAATTAACCTTACCTATCTCTAATATTCTCAGTATTCAACACTCAGTCCTCGGCGCAATTCAGGAAGTCGCCTCCGCCGCGACTGCCGTGACCGCCGCTGCTTCGAACACTCTCAGGAATCTCAGACCCAGTCGCGATTTCTGTCTCTCGCTATCTCCTCAGCGCGGTGACCGCCGTCGGCCGTCACCGCTGCTTTGACCGACCATAGCCAATACCAAAACCTCCAACCAAAAATAGAAGGTAATTTTCATATTTATTTTATTCAATCAAGCTCTCAGATCGTCTTCAACGGCGAACTTGAGCCCTGACGATTGGAATTTTTGTGTAAGGTCCGAATGAAATTTTAGGGTAGAAAATTTTTCATTTTCAGCTTACCTCTGCAATATTGATAATTATGAATTGTAGACTGTTTAAATTTGCATCTGGGAACTGATGGCATGTTTGAAGGCTTTAAGCTGGTGCATTATGTATAATAAATATATATATAAACTAGTGATGGGATCCTTGTTTCTGATGATTACCCCCTATTGGCTGGAATTTATTTCGTAAGCAAACTTTATTGCTATTTCCGGATAATAGATTGATGTATGGCCTAATGGGAAGATAACTGAGGTAAATTCTAGTTGCATAGAGGTAAAAATGGAAAATATTGCAATGGAAGAAATGTCATACATAATGTATCTTAATTTTTCCACTAAGCAACATGTAGTGTAGAATTTGCGTTTTGTTAATTTGCTTGTTTGTTAATATTCTCCTTAAGTTTTTGGAAGTGTAGAAAATATTTTCCAATAAGTTATGTTTTTTGGTTTTGCAAATCCTACTAATTTGCAAGTTTGCAAATGAAAGTGTAGAACATATTTCCTGTAAGTTCTTGTTGATAGTAGTCTAAAATAATTTTTGTGATATTTTAAATTTTTTTTTTAAAACTAGCATGCTGGATTGATAACCTGGGTGGGCCAGAGAAATCAGGAAATTTCCATCCTGCCACAGGGTGGGCTGGCCTCATTGACACCACTAATTTTGAAGGCCTAGAAATTGAATTAGAAAAGCTAGCCTAGTTTGTAGTGGCCTTACCTTCTAAAGAAGGGGTTAGAATGACGCAGCTTGAGAAGGAAAAATGTTGGCCTATCAAGGTCCAACATAGAATTAGATATTGAGTATTTTCTTGGATCCAGAAATTCATCCAAGTTCATAATACTCTAGCCCACTGTCGATTTCCGATATAAGCTCCAAAGCTTCTAATCTTAATTACCCAACAACAATCTTGGTTGTTACTAGATGGCTATATGTCCCATCTTCAACGGCCTATTCCAAGACCTTATATTACTGTTTTGAAAAAAATACTTCTTAAATCATTTTCAATTGATTATAAACACTTGCACTGAGCCACTTAGTTGAGTTGACGTTTAGGCATCGTTAAAATAGGAAAGACATTTCTTTTGCATCACCTAGCGTATAGTGTTGCTGAATAACATCATGACCCCTAGTACTCTAGTACTCAACGCTTACTTATGTGATATGGTTTACAGGTTACTAGATAGAGAGAGATTTTTTTTTTCCCTTTCCTTTATTTATTTTATTTATTTTTTTCATTTCACACTTGGTATTAAATGCAAAGACAGAGAGATGTAGTGATATATCAGTTGATATTGAAAGAAGAAAGCACAAGAAATTAAAGCGATAGCAATAGAAACAAGAGAGTTTAAACTTTACTTCACTCAAGGCATGCAAATCATATTAGTTAATCATGTGACAGTTCCCTTAAAGAGAATTCACTGAAGTGAATCACCAAAAAGAATTGAAACTCTCTCAAAGGCTATTTAGATAGACAAAATTACTAAAAGTTATTTTTCTTCTTGCAATTATCCACAAAAGTATGGATTGGAGTAATTCTTTTATTATTTTCGTATGTTATAAGAAAATCAGCTTTTTAGAATATGAGTTTTGATGAAAAATTTGACTAAAGTAAAAGCATTATGTTTATCTTGATATAGTTAAGCTTATCATATCCTCACAATGAGAATATGATAATCAAGTTAAATTAATCTAACATAATTGCGGTTGTTTTAGGTTTTAAATGTAATGTCTTGTGTGGAAAACTAAGGGTCCGTTTGGAAACTAAAAAAATGAGTTTTGGAAGTTACTTTCTGAATTATCTAGTATTAGGCTATCTAAGAAAAATGAAGTCAACAAAAATATTCATTCTTTACGGAAAATGACTTTTCAGATTTGGAAGATATTTTTTTGAATCCCTCTCTTATCCTCAGCTCCCTCTCCTCTTTGAGTGGTGTCAAATGGGCTGGCCCACCATCTATCCATTTACTATTTGAATTGGACCAACCTGAACCAATTAAAATTCGAGTTGGATTGGGTCGGGCTTAACAATAAAAAAAATCTTGGCTTGACCCACAATCCAAAAAACAAAAACAAGTTTGTTTTCCACTTTTCCCTTCAATTTCTTTGGTTCAAAGTTATTACATTTATCAATTTATGTATTTATTTTTATTATAATAAGTTAAAAATACAAAATTATTTATTTACATATTTTTATTATAGTTATTGTTAACCTTTATAATTAATTAACTATATAAATTTTAATTTATAACTTTATTCTATTATAAATAAGATTATAATATAAGCACAAGGAGACAAAGTTTAAACTCTTAAAAAAATTATTATTATCATTATTAAAATAATTAGTTTTTATAAAACTTTATAATAGATTTTTGTTCATAGTTTGAAAAATGAACCAAATAGAAAATGACAAAATTTTGACTTTTAGTCAAACACCACAAAATGAAAATGTTTTCTGGGAAATGAATTATTTTCCAGAAAATATTTTTTGGGTTTCCAAATGGAGCACCCTAAGTGAAAAATAAAAAAGGTTTTAAGCAAATCTACTTGTACTTATCCAACAAGTGTTAAGATCATTTTAAAAAGGGGGAAATAGGTCCTTTTATTGAACTTTTTGCACCTCATTTGAAGTGTTGGATAACCTTTGATATATTACCTAATCTGTATGTTATAGGGAACAATATACATTTTGAAGAAGTTTAAAACTCACTGTTAGAATAATTGTATCCATTGGTGCTAGTAAAACCAGAAGATGGCATCAGAGGGTGTACTGACCATATTGAAAAGTTGCTAGAAGATGTTGTGGTGTTTGCCATTGGTAATTCCTTGCCACATGTATTCTTGATGGTTATACAGGTACGTTAGCAACCTGCATATTGGTACAAGTGTACAACCATTCTCAATTCAAATGGACCTTGTGATTATTTGTAAAATGATAAGTATTCAAACAACTACTTTTCTTTTTGAATGTTATTACTCATTGAGTCATTGTACACTTTAACAGTACTTCGACTAATATTGTTTTAGAAATATGATAGAAAAACTATTTCTTGAGTTAAGTTTTAGTGGAATATATTGCTCAAGTGATCTAAAGATACACATTGATAAATTTTTCTTGAGGAATGGCTTCATATGGAGCTACTAGGGCAAGTAGTAAGATCCTTGCATCTTTCAAGTTTTGTTAAGTTGATATGTAACTTTAAAAAGGTTCTGGTCAAACAGTTGGGCACCATGAGGAGACTTTGTTAGCATAACAACAACAAAGAAGTGATGTTTAAATTTTTCTCCATGCAAGTGCTTGCCTTTGGTGTATGTTAGCAGTATTTGCTGTAATTGAGAGTAAGTTGCCTTGTATTTGTATCTCTACTATTATTAATAAAAGTGTTGTCCTAAATATCTTGAAATTCAATTCCTTTTAGTCCTAGTACACCAAAGGAATACTACTAGAAGTATGAATATTTTTAATATTAAATGAAAACTTAATAAAATTGAAATAAAAAGTTAAAAATAATATTAATAATTTACATGCCATGTAAGCTTCAATGTTAACATAAAAATATGAGGTGTCATGCAATTGGAAATTTAATAGTAGACAAGGGGTCAATTGCATGTTTTTTTGAGGTTTGAGTATTTATTTGAACATTTTCTAAGTAAAAAAAAAATGTTATTTTCCCCTCCTAATTTTACCTCCTATTGTTCACCTTCTGATGTGACAATAAAACTCTTGATATTTATTGGCTACCTGTGAATTGGCTGACCCTACACGCCTTAAAAAGGAAATCTACATATTAATCAAATACAAAGAGATCAATCAAGTATTTCCATGTAAGGAGGCAAATATTAGGAGGTTTGATCATTAGAGGAATGTAGCACCGCTCTTTTTTACTAAAATTTATCTCACATTCCTATAAATTTTGATGGTTTATTTGATCCTTATCTCAAAAAATAATTAGAATTTTTTTTTAACATTTTGTCAATTTTGAATATCAAAAGTGAACTTGTTTCTCCATATTTGAAGACTAAAAGCTGTCATTCTATGTTATTTTGTACTCCTGCAAACACTAGGGGGATCTACCCCCCTTTCTCACCTTTTCTTTGCAATTATTTCTCTCTAGCCAAAAATAAAATGTCTGAACTTCCGGCGAGTGTTGTCCCTCCTCCAGTGAAATCAGAATCTCCCACTGGTGCTGACAGCTCCAACACCATCTCTGTGTGGTCACAGCCGCAGCCATCTCGGCCATCAAAAGTCGCCATTTTGGCTGATCTCAATGTTGAACCACCGGAAGCTGACGCCCAGGATTCTTTTCAAACGGCCGTTGCTGCTCTGCTGCCCAACACAACTGCTCCAAGGTACCATCTATTATCATTTATGTCCTCATGGATTGTGCCCACTATAATTCAGAAACTAACCTCAAATAGAACATTGAAAAACCGAAATAATAAGGGAAAAATGTAGTCTTTTGAATTATTTGCACTCGTGTCTTTTTTAGCAATTTGTATCTTTGTTTTGTCAAATAAGTTATGAAAGTTAAGCATCCCACTGCTTACAGATTACACATTTACAGCTAAATTGGATACTTTGTTTGCGTGTGTGTAGAATAAAGTGGGTAAGGTTGAGTATTGTACTCTTAAAGTTATCATGAACATTGGAGGAATTAAATTTGTCCAGTAAAAGAATAGTTGTCCCAGGAAGTAATAAGAATGCACTTCACAGGAAAGAAAGTACGTAGTAGCATTATTTTGCTATGTTCAAAACTGACTCTGGGTCATGCCTCAGGTTTGTCCTGGTTTCTTTCTGTTGCGTCATTAAATTAGGAGTTTCATTAGCTAATAAGAGTTGTGGTTGAGCATCAGACTTTTCTGCAGTGAGTTTAAACTAATAAATTTCAAATGTCAGTTGTTTAATTCTTTTTGTTCGCAAAATTGATAGGAGAACAGACTCACAGAGTGATGTCTAGGGTAGTTTTTTTTTTTGTTTTGTTTATAATTGCCTGGAGAAGTGAGGAACATGGAATTAATTGCTATTATTCATTTGAAGATTTGTCCAATGAACTTCTTCTATTTGCCCCATATATTTCTCCAACTACCAAGCTTATCTAAGAGGCTAAGATTCTTTACCCTGAATTGCTATACTAGGAATGGCTCACATAGCTTTGTTTCCTTAATAATTATTCTGATGAATGAAGAACATCTATTTCTAATAGAATGAACATAACTGCTGATTTTTTGATCAACATAGGGCAAACTTGTTAAAATCGCTTGCTTTTGCACTTAAAGTGCAGAAGCAAGGCATGCGACTGGAAATCGCTTTGCCTTTGTAAGGCGCAGCCTCATGAGAAAGCGCTCGCATTTTGTTGCTTCGACAGAGTGACCAAGAGAGTAGAGGCGGCGCTTTCTCATGCAAAGCAGAGTCGACACCAGGCAACAAGAAAGAAAAGCATAAAATACCTAGATTTTAGGGTTTGCATTTCGCAAAGATGCAAATAGCGATGTTCTCTAGCGAGAAACTTCAGATTCAGACCATTGCTTGTGGCAAGCAAGTCGCAACTTCCAAACAACGGGAGTCACTGACTCGTTGAACACTTGAACCCATTTCACTACCCTTGCCGCAATGCCACCTCATCTCAAGCCTCAAAGCATGCGATATATATCTTGATTCTCCAGGTTTTTATTTTATTATTTTCTCAAAATTTCCTATCGCATGGCCTCTTCATCCACTCTTCACTTCTTCCTCTGTTTTGAACTGGGTAGAATAGTCAATGGGCCCATCGAGGAGAATGGAGATTGCAGTGATTTTTTTTTTTTTTTTTTTTTTTTTTTTTTTAAATTATTATAAAGCTTTAATTTTTTCCAACATTTATAAAGCTGCACGACACTCAGATTAACAAGGTTGTAATTAAAAAAAAAGAAGAAGAAAAAACCCCCCAAAAAGGCTGTAAATCAGTAATTTTGTTTATGAGATGATACCTATTCTATTGTATGGACTTATAGTATATTTAACTATTTGCATTAGAATTTACATTAAAACATTTTAAATGCCAATTTGCATCCCTAATTGAGTAATTGTTAATTTTTAGAAAATTGTTGCTTTGCACGAAAAAGCGACTCTTTGCTTTGTGCTTTCGCTTTAAAGCAAAGCCCAGCCTCGTCGCTTTAATGCGCTTTTTCGCTTTAAAAAGTTTGACATAGGGTCAAGGATCCAAGTTGATTTTTGTTTAAGTGTGGTTTTTAGGATTGGATGGATATTGAATATTCGAAGTTGTGAATATATCCAAACTATAGTGTTGGTTAGAGTATGTTCATATGCATCATAAATAGTAGAAAAGAAAGGTAATATCTCATCTGACACCAGCCATTAAACTTTTGGTTGAAATTGAAGTTCCAGTTCAAAGTACCCTGAAGCACAGTAATACTAGAAGAGATGACTGCATTTTTTGTCCCCACATGGTTAAAATTCTTTTTCAGTTATGCAATCCAGTAAGGCAGACTTTTGCTTCCTGCAGAATACTCGTATTTAAATTGTAGTCCAATATTTTTGTAGGATAGTCATTGATGAAAGTAGTCAACATAAGACAAGCAAAGATGTTGAGGGAATGGATGTAGAAGGTAAACAAAAAAAATTGGGAAAATGTCGGTCAAGAATTGGTAAGGTAGACAACCATCTTGATTGTAATGGAGCTGATGCAGATGCTGAACAGAATAGTCAAGGAACCCCTTCATCACGTGAAGAAAAAGTTAGCAGCCTTAAAAATGTGAGTTGTGTTATGTTCCTTGTATAGTCTATTTGTTTAGCTTGTACTGTGTTTTTACATCTTTATGCTTTTATAGTTCCATGCCAATTAATTCTCGAATCTATGTATTTACATAATGTTGTGTAATCTAGATTGTACTGTCATGTTTGATTTATATGCTAACATTTGTTTTGGTTTTCTTTATTTCTCAATATTGATTTATATCATCTGAATTGTATACAAAAGTTAAAGTAATTTAATGGACAACACAATCTATGTTTATGCTAAAAGTGCATGTGCAGCCTTGTATCTATTTTGAACATAGTCCATCTTTGATGGTCACATTTTGATTGACAATGCAAGCATAAAACAGCATACTAGGTCTCTGATTATGTTACATTTTTTTAATGAATGTATAATAGCTCTCCCTTCTAAAATTACTGACATCTGTTCTGATTTCTAAAATTGCACCTCCTGTTTATGTAATTCCATCCATGAATAATAATTGTAAGTGATTCGATCATTTTATCAATCTCCAGAGAAATGGTCTAACATTTAATAAATTGGAACATAATGCAAACAGGAGCCAGTTGGTTAATTTTTGTTTTCTTTCTGATTAAATTGAAGCCCCCTTTGTTATCTCTAGCATACTAGCCTTTCAGCCTAACTTCAGAACTGTAAGCCTTGATTACACATTAAATATCACATTGTTAAAGGAAGAGTGTGTAACAACATTTGGCAGTTACTATATAGTCAAAATCTTGAAGGCAGGGTTTTGTAAATATTTGTATGGCCTGCATTTTACCCATTTCCTGTAGCTATCTAGCTTTTTTCCCTTTTAAAGATGATTTTAAAGTTTAGAATAGTATAGAGTTACATACACATTATGTGTTATACTATTCCCTTTATGTGGTTTTGCAAGGGAGTGGAACTAGAAATAATTTGGTTACAATGTTACATAGATTTCTCTACTAAATATTTTTATCTTTCATGCCCACTTGAATTTAATTTTTGATTGATACTGGAACATGAATGGACAAGTGTTTTTCATTTCCTCAATAGAGTTACTGTTAGAATAGGGGTTAGGATTTCAGCTTGTATGCTTTAACATTTAAGCCATGTTCTGCTAATGAGAAACTGTTTTCCTAGATGAAGCTGGTTTTAAAGGAATAACTGAAATACTATAATTGTAGGGACTGATACATGTTGTGCGGAAAATGCCTAAGAACGCTCATGCTCATTTTATGCTTGGTTTAATGTATCAAAGGATGGGCCAGCCTCAAAAGGTAGCTTGGATCTTGCTATTGTTATTATTTTTGTTTTGATTAATTCCATATATGCTGTCACTTAATCACTTCTTATAGGCAGCTTCAGAATATGAGAAAGCAGCAGATATTTTAGTTAGACCTGATGAAGAAGTAGACAGACCAGAGTTACTTTCTTTGATCCAGATACATCATGCAGAGGTATAAATATACTGTCTTACTGAAATGCATTTTATATTTTGTGTTTAGCTACCCTTTTGTAAAATTTAGTATAAATACCTAGCTATTGCTACGCATTTTCATTATCTGTATGGTTGGCACATGCAGTGTATCCTGCTGGGATCCTTGGAGGATTGCAGTTCAGGCAATGAACTAGAACCTAAGGAACTTGAGGAGATTCTTGTTAAACTAAAGGAGTCTGTGCAATCTGATGTTAGACAGGTGTCTATTTGGAACATTCTAGGATTAAAACTTCTACGCACTGGTCGTTTGAAGGTTCTGTTTTATTTATTTATTTATTTATTTATTTATTTTTTAATGGTCTTGTTCTGCAGCTAGGATCTGAATAATCTTTTACCCTTTTGATCTGATATTACCATCTCTTTTCCTTCTCTAGAGTGCTATATCAGTTTTCTCCGCTTTATTAGTCATTGCCCCTGACAACTTGGATTGCCTTGGAAATCTTGGAATCACTTACCTTCAGAGGTACAGAGAACTCAGTACACTAGTTATTCATTTGTTAGGTTTTCTTTTATCATGAATAAGTGGTTGGCTAAGCTTTAACCGGTGCAAAGTGATGGAAAATGGTTGAAATAGAAGCAGAAATTTCTCAATGCATTATGCTGTTGCAAATGATCTTGCGGAGGGCAGAGGCATTTAATAAAACTCTTTGTAACTTGTTAAAGAAGGTTGTGTCAAAGTCAAATAAAGACTAGGATGAAAATTGGAGGAAGCACTATGGGATGCTACTAAGGATAAATAATGAAAGGGAAAAGTGTCAAATTGGCCCCCTAAGTCGAGTGGATAGTTCAATTGGGTCCCCTAAGTAAAAAAAAGCTCTATTCAAGTCCCCTAAACTGGTAAAATTGTTCAATTAAGTCCAAATTGACTTGTTTATGAGGTTAAACCTTTGCAATGTTGACACGTGTATTTTTTATTTTATTTTTTAAAACAAATGTTTTTTATTTATTAAAATTAAAAATATTATTTATTATAAATAAATAATTTATTTATTTATTTATATAAATAATATTTTTAATTTTAAATTTTTAATAAATAAAAAACATTTGTTTTAAAAAATAAAATAAAATAAAAAAGACACGTGTCAACATCGCATAGGTTTAACCTGATAAACAAGTCAATTTGGACTTAATTGAACACTTTTACCGGTTTAGGGGACTTGAATGGAGCTTTTTTTACTTAGGGGACCCAATTGCACTATCCACTCGACTTAGGGGGCCAATTTTGACACTTTTCCCATAATGAAATAATTAACGTTAAGGGTTCAATCCTTGGCTTTGGATATGGAACAGCCTTAAATCTCCAGGCTAGCTGTCCCACCTAATACAGGTGTCATTGTTCAACGGTGGAAACCCTGGGTACACCTAAAAAAAATTAAATAATTAACATGCCCCCATAACATTTTCTTTGGAAAGCTTGATGAAGATAAATCTCGTGTTGAGCCACAATATACCTAGAGGATCAGGAATTTGAAGATGCCTATTGTATCAAACCTCGAAAGTTCCAACAGATCAACAGTGACATTAGTGCCATTTTTTAGCTAGTCATTTTATCTAGTGTGTAGCTTCTCACACTTTGTGATTTACCATAAAGGTTCTCAAGCTATATGCTTTTACTTGTGTATTTTCCAGTGGGGACTTAGAGCTTTCGGAGAAGTGCCTCCAAGATCTAATAATGAAAGATCCAAACCATCCTGGTGCTCTAGTAAACTTTGCTGCCCTTATGCTGTGTAAATATGGTTCAGTTGTTGCAGGTATGATGACCTTTATTTAATGATCTCAACTTTATAGTGTTTTAAAAGACATGTTGCAGGTGCTGGAGCAAATGCCGATGGTGTAGCTCTCTGTGATCAGGTGGCAGCAGCCAATGTTGCCAAGGAGTGTTTGCTAGCAGCTAGCAATGCAGATCCCAAAGCAGCCCATATATGGACAAATCTTGCTAATGCATATTATTTGACTGGTGATCACAAAGGTTCAGGCAGATGTTTGGAAAAGGTTTAGTAACATTCAGCCCTGGACTTCAATTTTTTTTTTTTTCTCCTAACACTTATTTGTATAGAAAAATATCCTTTTATACTACCATTCTTTAAATTTATGGATTTCCATTCCATCTTATCCCCCTACCCAAAATAAAAAGTTAAATGTTGGATTCCAACTTCATGACCGGATTACTTCCCCAATCCCCATCTTTGCTGATCCGTGTTCTCCTTGCAACAATCTTGGACTTTTTTCTGTGGTTGTCTTCAGGCAGGAAAGCTGGAACCTAATTGTTTAGCGACACGATATGCCATAGGAGTTCACCGAATCAGGGATGCAGAGAGGTCTCAGAATCCTAGTGAACAGCAGCTATCTTGGGCTGGAAATGAAATGGCTTCAATAATTAGAGAAGGAGATTCTGGCATGATAGAGCCTCCAATTGCATGGGCTGGTCTTGCAATGGTTCATAAAGCCCAGCATGAGATTGCAGCTGGATTTGAAATTAATCATAATGAATTGTCAGAAGTGAAAGAACGTGCTAATTATAGTTTGAAGCAGGTAAGCCTTCAGTTTTCATATTTCATTGAGTGTTCAGCATATAGAAGTATAGAACATTCTTTGTTATGAATCATTCACCAGTGCTTAGGGCGAGTGGTTTTTCTTTTAGAGTTTCGTATAGGCATAGTTGACTTGAGAAAGAAAGCTAATTAGGGATGCTGACCTTCCAAATTTCTTCATCACATGTTATGTTCCGTGTTCCTATGTCTTTTATTAGGAGTGGCAATGGGGAGAAGGGGATGTTGTGGGAGTAGGGCACTATTTGGATATCTTTGTGTATCAGTGTATCTTGTGGGGGGGGGGGGGGGGGGGGGGTACATGGCCATTTTGATATAAAGTGACTATTGTTATGGAACCTCAGTTTTTTGTTTTTGGTTTCATGTGAAAAAGGCAATTGCAGAAGATCCTGAAGACGCTATTCATTGGCACCAACTTGGTCTTCATTTTCTGTGTACCCAACAGTTTAAAATGTCACAGAAGTACCTCAAGGCTGCAGTTGCATGTCTAAAGAGCAGTTATGCCTGGTCAAATCTTGGTAACATAATCATCTGTCTGTTCCTTTCTATATCATAAACGAGCACTGTGATATTGACACATGAATACGCATCTTAGGTATCTCACTGCATCTATCAGCCGAGTCTTCATGTGCAGAAGAGGTATATAAACAGGCCCTGTTATCCGCTACCCCTCAACAAGCGCACACGATCTTTTCCAACCTGGGTAACCTCTACCGCCAACTGAAAGATTATGAATCTGCAAAGGCGATGCTCACAAAGTCGCTTGAACTGCAACCCGGATATGCACCTGCATACAACAACTTAGGCCTTGTATTCGTGGCCGAGGGCAAGTGGGAGGAAGCTAAGTTCTGCTTCGACAAGGCAATCCTGCATGATCCACTGTTGGATTCAGCTAAATCAAACATGATTAAAGCCAGGAACATGCATAGGATGTACGAGAGCATGTCCTCGTATCTGTAATTAGTAATTACCATTGTGTTGACTAGAAACTCAGGATTCGCTCACTTGTAAATAATTGTTTATGGAAGGAATGTTGTACCTGTTTACTGTTTAGTCTTGCCTTTTGGTTACTTCCAAATCATTTGCAAATTTATTTAAATCCTGTCAAGCTTTAAATAATTTATTTTAATGTATGTATGCATGTATTAAGATATATATAATTCATATGCAATCTATTTTAGAAGGTAAGAAGGTAAAAAGTTGTGTGAGATTATTTCACATATCTTTATCCTTGAAATGGGTTGGGTTAATGTGAAAATGTAATACGGAGTATTACTTATCATAGTTGAAAAAATTGCTGGGCGGTCGGGGTGCCTAACGCTTAGGTGCTTGTGTATTTTTTATTTTTTAAATTTGTGTTTAACTTTTTTTTTTTTTTTTTTTTTAATTTTTAAGACTTGGTAATTATAAATTATTTAGGCTAAAGTGTCATTCTGTACCATGAATCATTTCTGATTATTAATGCCACACCATGATCTTTAACGTATATTTTGAGCTATAACTCTATAAGCTAATATTTTTTTTTTCACCTAGACCTTTTTTTTTAGATTTTCCAGTAAACACTATGTCATGACGCCGGTTTCCATGTTGATGTGGCTTTATTATCAAGTTAGACCAGTTCTTAAGCTTATAAATAATCTATATTGCGTCAGTTTCTCCCAAATTAGGCAAATTATTATGTGGACTATGGTCAACAAAATGTTATGTGGACCATAACAAAAAGTACATTTTTTTTTTTTGGAAATACAAAACATACATTTTTAATATACTAAATATACATTATTTTTGTATTGTATGTACATTATTATACAATATAATGTACAACCCCTCAATACAATGTACATTATTTTTGTACTGAATATACATTATTTTTGTAGTCAATGTATATTATTTTACAGTATATAAAATATGGTCCATACAACTTGTGTGGACCATGGTCCACACAATAATGATTGCCCAAATTAGGCTTAGGCATATAAACAACCAAAACTAAATTATCGACTCAGACTACTTCTACCCTCTTATTGTTGTTCAACCGTATCCAGTAGGCAAGATAGCTTCATCAACATACAAGATTGTTGGAGATGTCATCTTCTTCGAATTTTTCACGAGTGAGACTCGGGTAAAAAATTCTTCGGGTGTCAAAGATGGAAGGTATGCATTGGGCGAATTTATATTTCAATTTTATTCATTTTTTCAATTTTTTTCATTTCCTCTGTAATTTTTCCCAAATTTCCTGTAATTTTCTTAATTTTTGTTTCTTGATTTTCCAGTAATGTTTGTTTCTTGATATTCTGTAATTTTTGTTCATGACATATTGGGTCAATATAGTGCAAATCAAAATCATGGGTCAATATAGTGCAAATCAAAATCAATATAAGGAACTACGGAAGAAGCCAACAAAAATACACTAGGCTGAAACGAATGAATAGGGGATATATTAATCACAGTTCTGGTTATTATAATGTATGAATAAACATTATAGTGTTTTCTTGCACATTATGAATAACTTGTGCTCATCAATAAATCATTATTTATTCTGTCGTGTGTGCTATATGGTGTGTTTGTTTTGTGTAGCATTTTATTCTATATATATTACATTCAACCAAATTTCCAACCCGACCAGGGCTGTCCATGAGAGATGACTGTTTGAATTTTTTTTTTTTTTTTTTTTTTTTTTTTTTTTTTTTTTTTTTGTTTCTTATTTACATGTCCAGATGAAAATGGTTGCAGAATTTTTGTTTTTGTTTTTGTGTTTTTTTTTTAATTTATTTTATAAATTTTATGAAAAGGATCAAAGTTCATGGAAAAGAGAATGTGAGCACCGAGACATAAACGCCATGTTAGTTTCTTTGAGTCGTGAAATAGGAGGTGTGCGAGACCTAATTGTAAATATAAACCAACTACATCAGACTCATCTACTCCATGTTCAACATAAATCTCACACTTTTTATTTTGACGAGCAATATGAGCTAAGTGTATTAGACTACTAGCATCATTGTGTAATAGTTTTAAAGCTTGAAAGGCTTCAGAGGTCAACTTGTATGTAAGTGAGGCTTTTTTCCCATATCTTTGGTCAGATATATATTTGACTAAATGGGGATAACATATTAAGTCCGGGTCCACACGCACTATCTCACTCTCACCATTCAAATATTGGAGCCTAGGTTTTTTCACAAAATTATCACCATTGTGAATTATTAATTCCACAAATTCATTCATCCTAACAAAAAAAAAAAAACATATTCAATAAGCATACCAACAGCTATGCAGGACCACAAACAATTTTAAACATAAAAGCTAGGACAACACTTTATGACTTTATACACAACAAACTGACAAAAATATGCCTACCAAACACTATGCATGACCAAAATAAAAGCAGCAGACCCCACTGTATCAAAAGCATAAAAATATATATTCAAAGCTGGACCACACCACAGTACATCAACATAACTCTATTTATTTATTTGTTATTGGAGTCTGTATTCACAGTTCACAAGTCTAAATAAGGAGTCTGTATTCACAGTTCATATTATGTACATAGTATGAAAATTCACTGTGTATTATATACATAGTACGAAATTAGACGAAGGATTATATTCATAGTACAAAATTCTTGGAAAGAAAATACAAAGGATTATATACATCAACATCACAGTTCACAACATATACATCAACATCACTAATGGGATATGGACCGCGAAGATCGAACGGTTACCGTGACTAACTCACCTGTGAGTCTGTGACAGCCGATTACGGAGATCACCGCCGGAGAAGGGGAAGGAGCTTTCCCCCCCAAGAAAGTAGTCGAGTCCTTTCGATGACTCGGCTAAGGAAAATCCGAGTCCGAGTGTCATAAGGGGTCAGCACCGAGTAAACAAGACAAGAAGAGTCCTGAGAGGACCGTTGGTTATCCTTTAATGAAGAAACGGAGGACTGTTGGCAGACCAGAGCATGAGGAGAATAAACGAAAGAGTAATTAAGACCCCATTAAAGAGCATTTAATATTCATAATTAGCCATCAAACTGTAGTCCGAGTTCTGCCACTCGAACTCCTATATATAGCCGCTCAAGGCACTGTATCAGGGATAAGCTTTCTAAGATACACACTATTTTCCGGCAAACTATTCCATCGATTTCTCCATATCTTTCGGTGATTCACAACCTTTCCCATTTGTGTTAGACCCCCGGTAGGTTTCCCGAAAGTCTCGAAACCAACACTGGCGTCGTCTGTGGGAATTTGACTAAAGGTGGCGTATCCTCTTTTGTTGAGCAATTCGGAAAAGCAACGGAAGAAGATTTATAACCAAAACAAGCAATCAGAAAAATGGCCGACGGAGGAACAAACAGTCATACCTGAGGGGGAAGCCATGTTCGAGACAATGAAACAGATCTGTGTGCTTGGCAGAGCTGTTAGAATTCACGAGAGCAAGGAGGCAGTCCGTCACGTAAGGAGGTGAATGTGATACAGCCTCCACCGCAAGTTATACCCTTCACAATTCCCCAAATTCCACTCACCCCAGCTGTGTTCGAAGCCATCGCACAAACGGTAGAGGCTCGCGCTCGTGTGTAGGAGGTTCCCCCCTCACTTCCTACACCAGTTGTACAACAAAACAACCGTATTCGACCCTTTGAACAAGAAGGTTGGGACCGTACGAAACAACAACTCAATTCTGTACATTCGAGGTTGGGGCCAGAGGCTCCTCGTCGCTCAGCTCATGATCGGCTGGGTGAGAGAGTCTCTACACAGGACATTCCTAATCAGCAAGGAGAAGGAATCGTGGGAGATGCCATATCCGCCCACGAGGCTCCGAGTAGACTCGGGCGTAGGAAAATTGCACGGAGACGAGAAACCGAGTCTCAAGGAGAGGAAAGCGCCGAATCGACCGGCAAGCAAGCCACAAATCCTGATGAAGTAGATAATTTATGTAACCACTACAAGAAAAATGCAATAAACAACACTAGAAAGACAACAATTTTAAACAAAAGTGTTGTCTTTCGTATAAAAGACAATAGTTTGGTCCAAAACCATTGTCTTTGATGCAACACTTTTGTCAAAGACAACGGTTTTTACTTAACCGTTGTTATAAGTGTGTTCTCTTTGTGCAATTTGAGAAAAGACAACACTTCAACGACAACGGTTTTTCTATGTGCGTTTTTTTAAGACAACGATTTTATTTAACCGTTAGCTTTGATGTGTTGTCTTTAAGTGTACTTGAATAAACAACACTACAAAGACAACGGTTTTTTTAAACCATTGTGTTTGCGCATTATTATTTTTTAAACGACAACGGTTTTATTTTACCGTTGTCTTTGATATGTTGTCTTTAAGTGTACTTGAATAAACAACACTACAAAGACAACGGTTTTTTAAAACCGTTGTCTTTGCGCATTATTATTTTTTAAAAGACAACGGTTTTATTTAACCGTTGTCATTTGTGTGTTGTCTTTAATAGCACTTGAATACACAACACTACAACGACAACGGTTTTATAAAACCGTTGTCGTTGCGCGTTCTTTATTTCTTTAAGACAACGGTTTTATTTAACCGTTGTCTTTGGTATGTTGTCTTTAAGCGTACTTGAATACACAACACTATAAAGACAACAGTTATAAAAAATCGTTGTCTTTGCGCAATATTATTTTATAAAAGACAACGAATTTATTTAACCGTTGTCATTTGTGTGTTATCTTTAATAGCACTTGAATACACAACACTACAAGGACAACGCTTTTATAAAACCGTTGTCGTTGCACAATCTATTTTTAATTTAAGACAACGGTTTTATTTAACCGTTATCTTTGGTATGTTGTCTTTAAGTGTACTTGAATACACAACACTACAAAGACAACAGTTCTTTGCGCATTATTATTTTATAAAAGACAATAGTTGTATAAAATAAAACAAAGAAGTTATCGGTAAGAGTTGAACCTATGACTTTTAACATAGCAAACAAGGCTTAACCAACTAAGCAACACCAACCCTTATGTTTTAAAGCGCAACATCTAGGATATAACTGAGTTGCTTCTGTGTTGTCTCTGAGAACCAAGACAACGATTTTATAAAATAAGTTAAGGATGCCACCAAGAAGAATA